AAAATGCTGCCCTTTACATCATGCTTAGATAACCTTTAGCTGTTATCTTGAACTTCTGGTGAAAAACAAGGGTCAGTTTTGAGAAACAACTTTGGTTACTGCCCAGTTATTGAACAGCATGTCTAAATCTTGCTCATTTTTGTTTTAGGTCCAGATGTTCAACGGGACAAGCTTGTAACAGGAGAACAAATAGAATTATTTGCTAACAAACTTGGTGAATACTGGAAAGTCCTGGCTCCATACTTGGAAATGAAAGACTCTGATATAAGACAGATTGAATCGGATAGTGAAGATCTGAAGATGAGAGCTAAGCAATTGCTTGTTACCTGGCAAGATCAAGAAGGAATCCATGCTACTGTGGAAAATTTGATTACTGCATTAAATAAAGCTGGGCTGAATGACCTTTCTGAAAGCTTAACCAATGACAGTGACAACAATAGCTAATTTGAAAATAGCTTTTTAATTAAAACAATGGCTATTGTTGCTGAATGTAATATTTGGTAGAGCAGTCTAATTTGATGAACAATAAACTCTTTTAATAATATAATTGTCTAGAAATTCTGCAAAGGAAAGAATTAGTACTATTGATCAAGTGTTCCTCTGAAATCCTTAGGATATGGAAAAGTAGAAAATACATTTTTCACATACGTGCTATGAAAGAAATGCTATGAAAGGTGTTTTAAGGGCTCAATCTCAAACTAATTCTCCCACAAATTATATGCAAGAACTCAATTTCTTTACTGAAAAATTGGTGAAGGAAATTGCTGTTTGTTTGCTAACAAGCTTTGCATTTGGGAAATCAGTAAGGACTACATTACAGTTAGGCTATGATATTCACATCGTCTTTTGTAATGGAAGTGGCTCCAAATGATTACACTGATAATAGAATTATAGCTGAACACTTGACTTTGTTCATTCTGTCTCAAGCTTTTTTAAAAATCAGGCATAATACTGGGGAAAGAATAAATTGGTAAATTGGTTAGCACTGGGATTCTGATCTTAATCTTCTGTAGTTTGAAAAAAATGACATATTGAAGATAAGGACAGAGATATTCTTCCCATTAGGCAACTAAGTTGTGCTGTTGCTTGGTAGAACTCAATATAAAATTCAGGAGTAGTGGACCCTATCACTTATGTCGAGTATCTGGGTAAATCCATTTAAAAAGCATTTTGTTGGAGCACAATAATTCTAGGTATTCTAGTGTGGCCTTGTGCTTATGTGAAATAAGCCATGGCAATTAGTGGTCCAGTAACTTTGCACCCTAATGTATGCATCTTGACTCGAAGGAGGCCAATTATATCCTGCCCGATTTATTCACAGAATTCTGTGGCTTCTTTTATAATATGCAAAAACTTATAAGCAGATTTCAATTTTGCTCATCTTTGGGAAAGATAACTCCAGCCCGGTATTCTGTTAACTGCTGAAGTAGGTAATGCTGGTGCAAAGAGATTCAGTATAAAAAACACACTGCCAAAAATACCTTTTCTCTTTCAGTGCCTTGGTTGTGAGATATGCCTGTCTGTTGATGGCAACTGTATCTTTTAGAACCATTATTTTGATAACTTTTTGTCTTCTGGATAACATTGTAACTTAAAAAATTAAATGCAGGTAGCTGTGAGGGTCCTAGATCTCTGTGGCAAGAAGCTGTATGATTTGCTGTCCCTTGGGAGGGGAGGGGCATATTTATATATAAGGGACTGAACTCTTGCTATTACCTGAACCTGTTTCCCTATCAAGATTATAAGCATGCTGGCTGGGGGAATTCTGGGAGTTGAAGTCCACACAACTTAGTTGCTGAAGTTGAGAAACCCTGGTCTATATTATCTTTCCACAGAGGATGATCATGGTGTTTTTGGTTGCCTTGTCTCATGTTGTGGGCTTGCCTTTATTCTCCACTTTTTACATTTGGTACTGTCTCATGAGTTGTTCTCTCCTTTTCAGAGCTTTGAGGTAAAAGGGGATGAAGTTTGTTCCATGGGGGGCAATTCATAAAAAAAAAATTTAATCTTTCTTCAGGTAAGAAATTTCTGTCCACTATTGGATTATGTAAATTAGGTTTATCTAGAGGGGTTACAAAAAATGTTATGGAAACATCTAGTTACTTTAAGCCCTCTTGCCTGAAGGTATTTACATTGATAAACCATTTATGCCATCATCATCATCTATTAATCTTGTATGCCACCTCTCGTTGACTCTGGGCTTTTGAGTCAAACGTTACCAGTGCTCTTCTCTTACACCTTTGTAATACAAGTATGCCATCTTCAAAATACTATCCAAAACAAACCTAAGAGGTGGTGGTGTGGGAGAGGGAAATGAAAAGTTGATGTGCCAAATGCAATCTTTGTTCCATCTGTGGAAAACTTTAATTTGGGGGAAGTTCATAAATGACAGTTTAGCTTTCATTAGTTGCAAATGCCACCTTTTGTATGGAACTTCCCTATTCTCAGAAGAAGAGTTTGTTGGACTGTTTATAATTTTGTTCAGTTCTAGAGTCCCCTGCAGTGATAGGGCACTCCTGGATCAGGAGACCTGTACTGGTAGTGATAGCTTCCTTCATTAGGCACTTTGCTTCATCTTCTTCCTGTATGGCTTTTTGGTTGGTCTGTTGTATCTTTTGTCAGTTGTTCCTAAAAGTTTAAAAAGATTATAATACTTCATTTTAGGTGCCTGTTTGGGAATAGTAGTGCTTTTACAGTTCTAACTTTTCCTTACTTGGTTTTCCACTTGTGCCTTCTTTTTCCTTCTCTTGGGTTTCACCTGGGGGTTTTAATTTTATTTTTCCTCTTCTTATGAGTCTGAGTTTGTGAATGGTTGTGCATTAGTATATTATCAAGTACTGTGTTTTTGTGGTCTGATCTAATTTGAAACTAATTTGGTAAGGGTTGTCAATACATCATTCGAAGTAAATAGAAATTCTTTGTTACAGTATAATAAATCAGATGACCACTTCATGACCAACTTGTTATAAGCATTATATTGTCCTCCCAAGGCTTCTATAATCTTTTGCAAACAGGAATCCTGTAACCCCTCAAATCATTTGCTTCATTTGCCAGTACAGAATCCCAAGTCATATGGCTGGTAGGAGTTGAAAGTTGCCTTGGTATGGGGCTTTATTGTTACAGATTGAGTTGTTATTGTACATGGTTGTACCACAAGTGTGCTATTGTCCACTTGTTTTTCTGTATCTGAGTTTAGCTGTCTCAGCAATAGCTATTTCCTCTGGGATATTTGCAATATTTGAGATCTGTAATGTTGATAGTATCTGTCCAAGAGTGATAAGGATCAAAAGACCATTCACACGACATGTTTTCCGTTTGTGTCACTACTCTGGTCACCAGAATTTATTAGGGCTTCACTTCTGGATAAAAAGTTAGCAATCCTTGACTGTTTTTTGAGGTTTAATGTACAAATCAGTGTCTTCAGTTCCTGAGCACAGCCCCTTTTGTCTGTAGCCATCTCTTCTAGTGAGGACTATTGTTTCAGTGCCTAAGCTCAGTGTTTCATTGGCTCAGTTTATAAACATCATTCAGTAAATGCTTACTGAAGCTCTACAAAGAGAAGACTATTACTTTAAAGGCACAGCTGGAAATTAGAGATTCCCTCTTTGTAGTATGTCTGGATGAAAACAGTCTAGTTTACATACCAAACTTTACAGCCTTCTAATTTATTTGTGTTCAGTTGTAGTCTCTAAAGGGAGTGTTTAAAGCACACACATCTACATTCTGGTATAAGCTTCAGGTATGCTGATATAGTATCATAATGAGCTTTATTTGTGGGGCTTTTAGCGCAGTTGCAAGGCTTTCTATTTCTTTCACCCTGTTCCCCCTTTGAGCAACCCAAGGTAAAGTTTCATACATAATTAGCTTTAGAGATTATACTCCAAGAGGAATAAGGATAAATAAAGCTTAAAACTCAGAAGCTGACATAAACTCTGGCTGTCTCTTCCTCCACATCCCCCAAAGTCTCTCACATCTTCACTTATTTTGTCAAATAAATGATGTGATGATAACCTAGTACCATTTTTGCAATTAACAAAGTTTGGTTCTCATAATACCCTGAATTCTTTGAACTAACTCTGTATGTATGTAATCAACAGCTTCTTTAGATCATCTAAAAGCTTGACTACAGTACTTGCTTTGAAATAGGTTAAATACTTTTACTAGAAGGTGAGAAAGCAGATGGATTTCTCTTCTATTTGCAAACCCACCACATCCCTCCATATTTTGCACTCTCTGCAACTAATATTAAATCACATATTATTTGTAATTCTTTTCCTCTTAAGGTTTATTCATTAGTCTGAATGAATATGCCAGTCATGATCAAAGATAGAAAATAGGTTAAGCTATTTTTAAGATAAGCAATTGAGATTTTTCCTGATGGGTTTAGTGGAAGCAAGGGTTTTTTAAGGAAAACAATAGTGGAACAAAACTGAAAGAATTCGATTACACCTTAGTGAAAATTTCCAATAGGAACAGAAAAAAAATGGAACTGGATTTAAGAGTGTATGCTTTAAAACCTTTTACCTAGAACAGCTCAACAGAATATATCTGCTTTAAAAACACAACTGTTCAACTCAGTTTGCCATACAGAAAGGGAAGTTTTCTTGAAGATGTTTAACAATTTTTTTTTAACCTAAAATTTGCATTTACTTGGTTCATTTAATATAAATTAGTTCCATTACATTACATTAAGCAAACACATGCTTAAAACAACTGAAATCTTTGCAGTTCTATCCCTTCATACTGAATAATAGGCATTTTCAATGTAATATTTTTTAAAACTCATTTTTTACATTTTAAGATTCCTGTACTCTTCTAGATAATCACTTCCCCATTATCTGCAAACTTTAGTTCCCTATTTAGGTGGGCAACTTTTAAAGTTCAAAATTCAAATGGTAATTTTATAACCTACAGGCACAGTAACTCCAACTATTTGGTTGGTTGGCAGTTTATCATGTATTTGAAATTATGGTATCAGGATGGAAGAAAACAGACACAAGTTTTAGATAGGACACAAATGCCAACCATATTTATGTAAGAAGCACCATCATTACTGATCACTTTTTATTTAAAGTCAAAAATGCCAGCAACAGAGCAGACTGAGTTGGCACATCAGGCTGGACAAATACGTGATTGTAGCCATATTTCCACAGGCTATGAGCAGCAGCACTGAGTTACATGTTGAGGCAACAATTGATTTAATCTTCTGACACAATAAAAAGGATGGACAGCTACTGAACTGGTAGAAACCATGCAGGAGTTAACAAAGGTATGAATAGGTGTGCAATAAATATCTTGCTGAAAATATTAGAGGGAAGAGCAGGAGGCTCACTTAATTTTGTTAATAGTTACATTGTTTTAAATATTAACTTTTGCAATACAGTACCAAAATTATTTTCAAATGTATCAACCTACCCCCTAGTAAGTGGCTGCTTCCTATTGGCTTTAAACATGTTTTGCTTTCTTGTTGCACCAAATGACAGTATTTTAGTGATCCAATTTTGCAGTTTCTGTGAGCTCTGGAATTAAGACATTTATTTCACACCTTAGCAGATGTAGGTAGAAAGGAAGTCTACTGTTCAGATTCATCTTCCATTACTTCAATTCTGCGCGGCCCATAAAGTAGAACATAAGCTATATGCCAGTCTCCACCCCCCGATAACCTCAAAATATCTTCAGGTGTAACAATGCTGACTTTGTCGTCATCAAATTTAATCCATTCATCTGTGGGGAGAAAAAAACACTAATCAATTAACACTTTAAATGGCATTAACATGAGAGCCAGCTTCGTGTAGTGGTGAGGATGCTGGCCTAGAAACCAAGAGACTGTGGGTTCAGGGCCTCCCTTAGGCATGAAAGCCAGCTTTTGGGCCAGCCACTCTCTCTCAGCCCAGCTCACCCCAAAGGGTTGTTGTTGTGGGGAAAATAGAAGGCAGGAGTCTTAGGTGTGTTTGCTACCTTGAGTTATATATAAAAAGGCAGGATAAAATCATCATCATCGTCATCAACAGTGCAGAATTAATTTTCCAATTAATTTTTCAAAAAAGGAAGGCAGTCAAATAACTTGTGTTATTGACTACTTTCTAAAATTGCTTCAATACCTTGTTTTCTTTTAACCCAAGATACATAGTGTCCAGAGGAACTAGATCTTCCTTGATGTGTTAGCACTGCCTGTAGGTCGTAATAACCACAATTATTGGAACCAGTATCTGAGGAGGCAAAGAAGATGCTGCAATGTAATATCATAATAAACACTTTACACACTGTTAACCATACTTTTTGAAACTCTCACCTTCAGAATTAGAACATGAAAAGCATATTAAGCCCACAAAATATATTTGGGACAATGATTTTTATCCATCAACAAAACGGATTCACCACTGCGCAGGCTCTCCTCCAATCCCTGTTTCAAAAGACTGCTGGATGCTTTGGATTTTTATGCTCTGCAGGCACACCCAAAGTATCACTGCTTAAGCAGACCTACGCTTCCAAAATATTCACTGTCTCCAAGTTAAACAGCAGGCAATCAGTCAATTGGCCTGTATGCACATATTTCAGCGTAATCAGAAACTCAAAGTGGGAGAAGCCAATGAAGTAAATGCATAATAGGAGAGATAACAAAGTTAATCAGAGTGCTTGGGGTTAAAAATCTGTGCATACAACAGAATTGACAAGATACTAGCATTGCTACTTTTATCACTTTTTCCTCCAGTGCAACACCTGCAGCCGACTACACAAGTAGGCTACTGTAATATGAAATGTTTAAGTCACAACCATTTTAAGATAGATTAAAATAAATGTAATGTTTTTATTTTTTTCCACACTTAAATTTTAATAGTAATTTCAAATTTCAAATTTAATTTGAAGTTAAAAGCTTATTAAATTATACTAACACAATTTCTCCACTAAACACGAAAAATTATGACCTGTAGTCTCTTAAAGAACAAATACTTTACGAAACATGAAAATTATACCTAATCTGGTTTTGTGCTTTATAATCATGAGCATTTGTGAGATTTAGCTTGCTGTCTTTTATTTCCTGTAACCAAGTACTATTCAAATATTGTGGTACATAATTTATCAGGCATTTATCTTCATACTGATTTCAACCACAGCTGCAGATATTCACTAATTAGCATTCCTAAATAATCTGTCTGCTTCAATTTTTAGTAATGCCACATTAAGGTAAGGCAGGGTAAAAATATCTGCGATTCTAAATGTAGACGTTAAATGTTTTTCTACTTACCATCAGAAAAGGAAAACGGTTCATATTTAATATCCTTCTGTGAACCATCACCTTTACTAGACTTGAAAATGAAACAGAAGATGTTAGAGTTAATTTTGTAATTATAAAATATGGCATTTATGGCATTAAAATAAGTAAAACCATAGGGTGATTTTTACATGTTGTTATTATTATTTGGAAACCATTTGTAAAATAAAAAGCTGAAGGTCTAAGGCTTAAGTATCCTTTGCAGCAGAGATTTTTCATATACATTTCATTATTATAATAAATGATCCAATAAAAAACATGAAAACATAAAAATCAGGGATATGGTATTTGATGGCTGATAATACAAGCATTAATATCAGAAAGTAGTAGCTTTATGTGAAATATCTGTTTGCCCTGGACAATGTTGCAGAAGAGACAAAATAAAAGAATTATCCATGTTCCTATAGAAATTACAATACAGCAGAATATGGACAATGGTTTTAATCCCTGAACCACAAAAGTAAACTCATTCAGATAAGGGAATTTTGGAGTGTCTGCCCAGTAGGAGTGCTGATAGTAACACATGCCATGCCTGAAAGAAGTCCTTCCTCAACCTGGGGAAAGTGACAGATGCTAAATATTTGGCCAGTACCCAAGTTCCTCTTGAAAACTAGGTTCTGCTGTTATGTGGTGTCCTATTGATCTCCAGTTGGTACTATCCTTTAAAAAAAAAGCACATGTATGGCCTTTTCATAACCCAGGGTAAGAAGGAATGCAGCTGAGGATTGGTAACATGACAGCTTGGATTCTACAGCACCCCTCCAATACAAGGGATAACAGGTCAATGGGGAAGAACTGTATATTTATTCAATAGCTTCCAGGTTATTAATCTGTTTTAGGGATTCCCATCTTAACTCTGTGACATTAGCTGCACAGTTTGGGCTGGCAAGAATAGCTTTCACCATTCACATGGTATTTCTTCTAGTACAGATTCCACCTGTGCTCCAGATAAGAGTACATCTAATTAATGTTCTGGCTGTAAAAAGTTTAAGAATAGCTGGAACTACCTCTTGGTCCTTGAAGAAAAAGGACTTAATGGTGGCAGAAGACACATAATCATTATGCATTTCCATAATCCTTTGCCATCAAAAACCACTCCAAAGTATTTAAAGGTATGAATCTACTCACTCTTCTCCCCCTTTATAATCCAAGTTTTCTATTCAGGCCCTTTCCTGAAGGACATGATTTTGGGGTTTTGATAATTAAGTAAAAACCTATTTTGCTCAGTACCGGAAATGACAGATTTCAGTACTCTTCTGAGACCAACTGGAGTTTGGAATACAAAAACAGCAGCATCTGAATACAAAAGGATGGATGTCCTGCAGTGTGCCAGTCTGGGACTGTGAAAATCAGGGTTGTTCAGAACTGATGCCATCAAATTTATATGTAGATTGAACAAGGAGGGTGCCAAGATGCTTCCTTGACAGTCCTCTTTTAAATTACTATTCTGAAAGGAGCTCTTGTAGAAAGAGATATATTCAAATCTGTTAACTTACATTCATTGCTCTGTTTTATACAAATATCTGGCTTGCAACTAATTTGATTTTCTACTATTTTGTACTGTTCACACATTAAAACTAACAGGAGTTACATTAGTCCATTGCTAGGTTTTCTAGTAATTTATTCTTTCAACCTTTTTCTTTATATTCTTCAATACTTTATCATTACTATACAGAATTTCTAAGTTTATTTTGGTTCTCTTACTGTACGGTCCTATGCAACATATTTTGGGGCATAATTTATTATCACATTAACAACAAGGGGATTACATTAATACTTTCATGGCAGATTAAACTGCAATTTTACAGTTATGTCTGATTATAAACCAAATTCCTTGATCCAACAAATCATACTTTGTTCCTCCTTGAGAAGCAAGGACTGGAGGCAGACCTTAAGATAAGAGTTTCCTGATTAATACTTAATCAAAGGTATTGTCCTTGACCCAATTTTTAAAATAGTCACAGATTGTTCTGTATTAACTTGACAAAAATCTAAAAATTAGTTTTCAGCAGTTTAAAACCTTTGCACATGCATAATGTCTTTTTTGGAATGTTCAATCCTTGTTAATGGCTTTCAAAAGGATTCAAAACTCTGCTTCAAAGCTGAAATTCCCAACTTGCTGTGTGTCTGAGTTAAAGTACTAACAGAATTAAGCTGCATGTCATTTAAGAGTTCAGAGGTCAGGGTGTCTCTGATGCACTCACAAAAGGCCAAAATACAGATGGCCTGTTTTGCCCTGCCAAAATAGGCTGCAACCCAAATGGCTTCTGAAACTCCCAGATTAAAAAATAATGTCAAAAGCACTACTAAAGTACATATACCTGATTGTTCTGCTTTTAACAGGTAAGATTAACTTGAAACTAATAATTCCCTCCAGTGAATCTTAGAAAATTCACCTGCAATGGTTTATTAGACTACAGAATCTAAAAAAAACCCTCAACAGTAATTCTTCACATTCCAAATCAGTCTTTTAACTGCAAATCTTTTTATTATTAAAAACATGATCATTAGCAGTCTAAATGAGGTTTGGTTATAAGCTCTACCTTCATAATACTAGACCTGACTTAAGGTCTACCTGAAAAAGAAAACGCATACACCGTTAAATCAAACTTAATGATTAATCAAACTTAATGGGTCACCTACATTATTTGGTTGCTGGTTTACTTTTTTGTCTTCCAGGTCCTTGAATTTTGATCGATATGGGACCATCTTTTCTTGAAGGTCTGGTGTACATAGTTCATATACATCCAGCATAAGTGGAAATTTAACATCCTATAGCAATTTAAAAAAATAGTTAAATGTCCATGTAAGTCATGATATGAAGCAAATCACCTGTCATAGATCTTAATTCCATTTAATTTAAAACAATACTGGCAATAATTTAAGATCTTTAAGCAAAGTATGTACACCTAAGGCTCAGCATTTAATATTTAAAATGCCTTAGGAATATAGAAAACTGCCCCATATCATGTCAGACCATGAATTCATCTAGTTCAGAATTGTACTATCAGCACTCTCTCTCTAGGGTCTCTGGAAATTGAAACTAAAATCTTATATTGCAAAACGTCCTCTAGTGATCACCTTGGGTCTTTTCCATGGCCATAATAGAAAATTAAAAAAAGAAAAATAAATCCAGCTTATCTAATATTTTCCAGTGTCCTATGCACTTCATTCCACACAATGTTTTAGCAAAAGCATCATGAAGCTGATAAATCAATACAATCTGGACTGATTCTGCTTTCACTTCCATTTATAGTACAAAAGAAGGGTAAATCAGTTTGTTTTAATCCAAATTACACTGCAATTGAATAACAAACCTTGACTGCTGAATTTATGAGACAGATAATTGCCAGATAGATCAGGTGCAGAACTTAATATTAAATGTACTTACTTTGAGAACTTTGGCATTCACAGATTCTTTCTCTTTGTAAAAAAATCGGACCATCTGAATAGTAAGGTATGCAGGCAAGCGACTTATCTTGGACTAGAAGAAGAAAAGCATTCACTAGAATCACTGGGCATGAAAATCTATAACAATTTAAAGCTGTAATCATAAGCGCATGAAAAATGTTTACAAAAAGACAAAATATGGCATAACATAAGTCCATCTATTCTATTTCAGGGAATTTTAAACTTTGCCCTCTTCTATGTATCCACACCCTTAAAATGGCACATCATAAGTAGAGTTTGTTTGTTTGTTTATTTAATATGCCGCCCATCTCCCCCAGAGGGTGACTCTGGGTGGCTCACAGTTAAAGTAAAACCCAAAATAGTTAAAAATATAAATATCCCCATTAATTTAGTTAAAAACTCAAGCTATATACATATGCTCTTTTTACAGTTCCATTACTATAAAAGGATCTTACAAAGTTATGCTCACCGTTTTTAAATAAAGGGCATTTCTTTGCAATGTTGGTGATAATTTAGTTATTTCTTCTTGAAGACGCTGCAAAAGAAACATATTGCTACAGATAAGAATTAGAAGACATGCAAAATTAATGATGGCATTTCATATGTCCTTTTTTTTATTCTGAACAGCATTTTAAATGATAATGTAGTAAGAATAAACAAACTGTGCCCAAAGATATTTACTGAAATCTGGAAGTATTTTTCAAGGAATGAGGGAAAGAATAACACATGATAGCCTAGAACGAAAAACGATTTAAGCTCATGCAAAGAAATTTGCATTCATCTAGTGGAAATTTTTATTACTTTCTTCTTCCAACTATCACATATATTTCCATGGGTTGGAGGGAGGATAATACAGGTAGTCTTCACTTAACAACTGTTCATTTAATGACAGTTCAAAGATATGACAGCCTAGGAAAAAGTGCTTTATGACCTGTACTTGCACTTATGACCATTGCAAACCATCATAGCACCCCCTGGAGTCACATGATCATGATTTGAAACCTTTTTAACGACATTGTTAAGCGAATCACTGCAGTCATTAAGTGAATCATGTGGTCAGTAAGCAAATCATGTGGTCATTAAATGAATTCTGGCAAAAGTCCATTGGGGAAGCTGGATTCATTTAACGACCATATGATTCACTTAACCACAGTGATTCGCTTAACAACCACAGTGATTCGTTTAACAACCATTGCAAAAATTGTGATAAAATCAGGTCTGGTCACATGGTGACTTGCTTAATGACCGCCCTGCTTAACAGCCAATTTTCCTGTCCCTATTGTGGTAATAAAGCAAGGACTACCTGTATAACAAGGATGGGCAATTTGTGATACTCAAATGTTGGATTCAAACTTCAATTAGCTCCAGTCAATATGACCAAATAATCCAGAATAGTGAAAGTAATAGTTTAGCAACATTTGGGAAACTGAGGTTTCCTCTTCCCTATACTATAAAATGCATATGACACAGGGTTGTGCAATACTTTGCATTTAAAGGCAGCTGTGTCTAAATCCTTACAGCAGCTGTATCTTTTCCCAGGACTGTGTAGCTGCTTTCCACAGCTGCAATGCAATTCCAGGAAAAGACATGCTTGATTCAAGGAGTTGCAGACACATTCTGAAGCACCTTTTTGTCTTTGAATGAAACACAATGCACAGCTCTAGTATATTACCTCCCTAGAATATCTGAAACATACAACTGAAAGTTGGCAAGTATATTTAGAACATTATTCCAATTTCAGTTTTTAATTCTCATCTTAATACTTCTTGTTTTTGAGAAAATGAAAGAAATATGTAAAATGCATTTTCAATGTTATATAATGCCTTAGAAAATAAAATATTAGAATCTCCAACAATCTCAAATTTAATGTTCAAATCTGCTTCCCCTTCTTGAAAACACTTTGTGGACCAATTTCTAAATAACCAAGATAAACCCTCTTAAACATAGCACTGCAAAAATTGTATGAATAAAGATGCCACAGTAACTCACCAATTTAAGACCTGTGAAAAGATATTTAACTTCTTGATTGATAAAGCAACTAAGCTGGAGTTGATTTTCTCTTCCTTTTGTGACTTCCTCTTCTTCTGCTTCTGTGCATTTCATGCTTCACAAAATATTAAGGACCAAAAATGAAAAGCACTGAACTACTGCTAACCACTGAGCTTAATAATTTGCAGAAAGAAAGTTGTCTTACTTCAGAAGGCTTAAATTGCTGCAACAAAATAATGGTGCTTATATGAGCACCCATTATTTAATGACAGTAACCAGCTCTTTAGATAACCATTGTGTTTTTTTTTTTATAACATGGCACAAACCTTTCTTTAAAAACAACTTTAAATATATTTTATGGAAGCACTTAGCTATCTATTACAGAATACATTTTTAGTGAGGACTACCTCTTTAGTAAGTAAAATTTATAAAACCAATCCCACATATACTAATGTTATTACCATAAGCATGCCTTGTTATCCTAGAATGTGTTTAGGATACATAGTTTCAAACTCAATACTGAAAAACTGGTCAATTAAGCTCTTCTTTTTAGGTGGTGCTGCTGCGGCTGCTGCTCCTGAAATTGAAGAGTCAGTCTGTAAAAGCAAACAAATATGTAAGCAACAATGCAAGCTGTTTATGCTTTACTCTTACAGAGGTGTTTGTTGTATTTTTAAAACTGGATAGAGACCTAAGAGTGGCCAAAGGGAAAAAATGTGAATGGTTTACTTTGAACAAAATTTGGGAAACAAAGATCTTTTTCAATTCTATGTCAAGCAGTCTAAATCCAAAAGCACAACAGAAAAAGTAGTTTGGGTAGATATTCCAAGCAGCTTTAGTTCCGATTGGCAGCTTACAGTATATAAAGTCAGGCTGTGCAATATTTTAGGTTCCCAAAGTTGCTTCAGAGCACAGATACGGCACCCACCAGCAACTCATTAAAACATAATGCAAGAATACCTTGTTAGAGCAGCCCAAGGCTCAACTAGTCTAACATTTTATTTCTCACAACAGCCAACCAGATGGTCTGGGGTGCTAGCAAACAGATGGCCATATCCCTCTCCCCCTGTTGTTTCCTTGCAACTGGTATTGGGAAGCATATAAGTGCCAACCTGGATCTAATACTGAGTCTTCAAAACTAATACTGCCTGACAGACCTATCCTCTGTGAGTTTATCCATTTCCCTTTAAGTCTGTTCAAACTAGTAGCCATCTCCACATCAGGGTAATAAATTCTGCAGATCGCTTTAAGAAGCATTTTTGCCTGTTCTAAATCTCCTTGCAATCAGCTTCATTGGATGATCCATAGTCCTAGCATTTTGAGATGAAAAACTTTTCCTCATTCGCTTTTTCCATGGCAAGCATGTTTTTATACATCTTGCTCATATCCTTAGTCACCTTTTTTCTAAGCTAAAAAGTCCCAAACCTTCCAGCCTTATGTGGTATGGAAGTTATTTTGCCCCAATGTGGAATTTTTTATTTATACTGAACCACATTTACCATCTGGCTGCATATCAACCCAATTTAAAAAGATCCTTCTAGAGCTTTTCACAATCATTTTTCTTTTCAACATCCTGGATAGTCTGATATTATTTACAGCTATGTTCAGCTCACTACGTACCATTAAGTCAAGATAATTTATGAATGTTAAAAACCACTAGTCCAAACACAGATCTTTGCTGGATTCTACTTCTGTTACATGAGATTTTGCCCATTTATCCTTATTTTACTTTTCTTTTTAATCAGCTGGCGGTCCATAAAATGATAGGTCTTCTTATCCCATGACCACTAAGTTTGCTCAAGAATCTTTGATGAGGAACTTTAGATACATGGATTATCAAAAAGCCTTTGACAATGTCATAAGAATCACCTCCATCCATGTGCTATTGATACTCTTAAAAAATCTTTTAAAAACCCCTAAAAACTCTGTAGAAGTTGGTCAGTTAGGATTTACCTTTGTAGAATCCATACTTATACAGTGGGGCAAAAAAGTATTTAGTCAGCCACCAATCGTGCAAGTTCTCCCACTTAAAAAGATG